GACGACTTCCTATACTTTATATAAGATAAGTTTATGGAAAATGTGGAAATATGCGTGAGGTAATAGATATAGCGGACCGAAGTATTCCATTTTCATACTTCATCTAATACAGATAAAAATATTGGTATGTGCAAAATTTGAAATTCGCTTTCTTGGAGCGTTTGGCTTTTCAAAATCTTGAACTATGTAGGAGAGGTATCAGAAGAAATGGTCCGATCTAGACCATCTACATAACAGATCTTGTATTGATGGGAATATTGTGATGTACCAAGTCTGAATGGAGTCGGATGTTAATTTCGCGTTTTATGGCCTTCATGGGTACTCAAAATGTTGACCCTTTGTGGGGGAGGTACTAGAAGGCGGTCCACTCCATCCGGTATCCATCCCGACTTCACACCAGACCTTGGCTTAAAAAATATTGTGATGTGTGTAATTTGAAGAGAACCGGATATTTATTTCTTTAATTTTTTGGTTATTCAAAACTTTAACCCTTTGTGGGGGAAGAACCAGAAGAAATGGTCCGATCTCTGCCATCTTTATAACAGATCTCGTGTTGATGGAAATACTGAGATGTGGAAGGTCTAAATAGAATCGGATGTTAATTTCGTATTTAATGAGCTTCACGAATATTCAAAATGTTGCCCTTTGTCGGGAAGGTGAATATCGGTTCACTCCATCAGGTACCTCCTCCACAAAGGGTCAACGTTTTGAATAACAAAAACGATCAAACAATCCGATCAAAACACAATATTTTTATAAACCCAAGGTCTGGTATGAAGATGGGATATATCGGTCCACTGCTTCAAGTACCTCCCCCACAAAGGGTCAAATAAAACGCGAAATTAATATCCGATTTCATTCAGACTTGGCACATACCAATATTTTCATCAACACAAGATCTGTTTTAAAGGTGGTAGAGATCGGACTATTCCTTCTGGTACCTTCCCCACAAAGGGAAATAACCATCTATTCTATCATATTTGTTTAGGTCCGGTACGAAATAGACAATGTCGGAATCTATAACAGAAGTCAGAATAAACAATCGAAAATTGGCTGAGGGTATACATTTGTCGGCTAAACTTGTTTTACTAATTTTGTAGCTTTAAAGTACGAATTTTCAAAAATTCCGCCTATCGCCTAACAAATAGTGGTCCTCATGCAAAGTTCTAGCTCCAATCGATGGATCAATAACAAAGTTGTACCTTTAAGGAGTTTTTGTATTTTTTATACCCTCCACCATACTATGGAGGGTATATTAACCGTTTGTAATTCCTCGAAATACTCATGTCAGACCCAACAAAGTATATATATTCTTGATCAGCGTAAAATTCTAAGTCGATTTAGCCATGTCCGTCTGTCTGTTGTAATCACGCTATCTTTCGACTGAATTGAGATAGAAGGCTAAAATTTTGCACACGTGTTTATTTTTCCAGTAGGCAGGTTAAGTTCGTAAATGGGCCATGTAGGTCCACGTTTTCATATAGCCCCCATATAACGGTACCTCTCGATATTCAGTATTTTGATGATTTTAGCGACATTATTCACTGGAATTGTTTCCAATGTGACATTTGAAGTTCGTAGTGGATACTACAGCCTAAGAGAGAAAATTATCTGTACAGGTCCACGTATTCGTATAGCCCCCATACAACGGTACCCCCCGATATTCGGTATTTTGATGATTTTAGCGTCATTATTCACCGGAATTGTTTCAAATGACGTATTTAGAATTCGTAATGGGAACTACAGTCTGTGACAGAAAATTGTCTATGCAGGTGCAGGTCTTCTTATAGGCCCCACATATCAGTACCTCCCTTTATTCGGTATTTTGACGACTTTAGGTACAATACCCACCGAAATTGTTTGAGATATCGTATTTGACGTAAGTAATGGATGTTATAGCCTGTGACAGAAAATTGTCTATGCTGGTCCAGGTCTTCGAACTGCTCCGTTATAATGGTACCTCCCTATATACGATATTTTGATGATTTTAGCTACATTATTCACCGTTTATTTCATGTTTCGAATTTGAATATGGTAATGGCTAATGGCAAACAATGCCTATGTAGGTCCACGTCGTCGTATAGACCCCAATATAACGGCAATATTTGGTATTTTTAAAATTTAACAGAATTTTGTTAAGGATTTTATTTTTTTAAAATTTCCAAATTCGTTCCAAATGGGGGAGGGTATTCAAAATTTGGCCCGGCTGAACTTACTGCTTTTTAACTTGTTTAAGACAATGTTTGGAAAATCATTTCCTAAGGGTACGAAAAATCCTGAAAGGTATAAAGGGTGATTTAGCTTTAATATGATTCAGATACGGACAGGGTTACGAAATGAACTACATGATAGTAGATCATTGTTGTTGATGGACCGATAAGAGGTATGAGATCGCTCTTTATTTAGAGGAATAGGATAAAATGTGATTTTCGAAATTTTTAACTTTTAGGGTATAACAGAAATTAAAAAACACAAAATGGTAGATTTTTAGTGGCCGTACCATATTTTATGCATGTATGCATATTTTACATTTTGTAGGGAGGGCTTTTTTCCGTGAGAAAAGTCTAGAAGGTACGAAAATTATTTCAAAGGTAATAAATGCTACAATATGGCTATTGATCTATTTATAAGAGTTTGAGATCTGATTTTAAGCAAGGGGTGGGTTACCTTTTTCGTAGTCAGGTGAGATGTGGTAGAATTTTGTGAAACTTCGAATTTTTAGGATACAACAAGTACAAGGCATAAAATTGTACAACATTTTAGTGAGGTGACAATATTATCAAAAATTCAAAAATTGTTTTTTTATACCCTACACCACAAGGTGGTCAGGGTATTATGTCTTTATGCACTTGTTTGTAACATGCAAAAGGAAACGAGATAGACCCATAGTTCCTTTTGATGATCTGCATAGAATCACATTCTGAGTCGATTTATGCATGTCCGTCCGACCGTCTGTCCATCTGTCCTTCCGTCCGTCTGTTCATGTATTTTTGTAAACAAAGTACAGGTCGCATTTATTGCCCGATCCAGATGAAATTTTGCACAGATCACTTGTTTGGCTCAAGGACGAACCCTATTGAAATTGGAGATAATCGGTCAACATTTAAATATAGCTCCCACATGTATCTTCGTCCGATTTGCCTTTTATTGTGCACCAAACGTGTAATATCAGCTCGAATTGTATGGAATTTTGCATATACATCCAAATTAGGCCTGAAAATAAGTATGCCAAATTTGATCGAAATCGGTTCATATATAGCTATAGCTCCCATATATATTGTTCATCCGATTTTTTATTTTTGTCCTCCGCAGCCGTAATATGCACTCCGTAACAACGATATTCAGGGAAAAATATCAAATACAACTCAGAAATATCTTTGCCAAATTTTATCGAGATCGGTTTGGATTTGGATATATCTCCCATAACTTCGTCCGATTTACCTTTTATTGTGCACCAAACGTCTATTATTTGTCTAAATGGGATGGAATTTGGCACTTACGACCGAATTGAGTCTAGAAGCTAGTATGTCAAATTTGGTGAAGATTGGTTCAGATATAGCTATAGCTCCCATATATACTGTTCATCCGATTTCTTGTATTTGTTACCCACAGCCGTAATATGCACTCCGTAACAACGATATTTGAGGAAATATAACAAATACAGCCCAGAAGTATCTTCGCCAAATATTATCGACATCGGTTCAGATTTGGATATAGCTTTCATATATAACTTCGTCCGATTTACCTTTTATTATGCACTAAACTTCTTATATTTGTCCAAATGGGAATGAATTTGGCACTTACGACCGAATTGAGTCTAGAAGCTAGTATGTCAAATTTGGTGAAGGTCGGTTCAGATATGGCTAAAGCTTCCATATATATTGTTCATCCGATTTGTTATATTTGTTACCCACAACCGTAATATGCACTCCGTAACAACGATATTCAGGAAAAAATATCAAATACAGCTCAGAAATATCTTTGCCAAATTTTATCGAGATCGGTTCAGATTTGGATATAGCTCCCATATATATTTTTATGCGATTTTAAATTATTTCTGCACCAAATGGACAACACAAGTCCGAATTTAATAGATACACATGCTTTGGCCTATTTAATCCTTTGATCCTTATCCAAATTTTAAAATTGCTAATCTATGGATGAAGATTTTGTATCATTTAGTACTTTTCGCACACATACAGGGTTGCCCATATTCGACAGACCCATCTGGCAACGCCATAACTTTTGACAGAGATGTCACATCGCTTAACGACAACGTGCTTTTAAAACATTAAAAAATGTGAGAAGTGCGCCTTCTAAGAACACCATTAAGCGTTTATACGAAAAATGTTCGACTGGTAAGGCTCTTTCTAATCCGAAGAGGCCATATAAAAGTCGACCAAGGCGATCGGCCGAGAATATCGCTGCCGTACGAACCAGTGTTGAGACATCCCAAAAACGCCTTTATCAGCAGTTGGGCATGGCTCGGTCCACTTTACAAGGGATTATGCGCATTGATTTGCATTTGTTCCCGTACAAAATTCAATTGACGCAAAGAATGTTGCCTGCGGTCAAGCCTCGTCGATTGGAATGGGCCCAAAGGTCCGTCGAATATGGGCAACCCTGTATATGAAACGAATATTGCCTTGACACCATGAGTGGGCCTCATGCCTTGGTCTTTTCATCAGAAGGCCAACACTTAATCAATCCACCCTTTATTAATGCTGATTTCTGTAAATGCTATTGGCGTATGAGTTATATTTCAGTAGATTTTTGTCGAATTACTCATACGACCTGTCGTTATCTTTTCACAAATCATTCCCAAATCACAACAATTTCAAATAATCCTTTTAATGTAACTGAAAGAATTTCTCTCAACAACAAAATAGCTTTCACATAAAAGCTCTTTCTCTTTTATCTTCCCACACACTCTCTCTCTCTCCCTCTCACTCTCGCAGAAGAGAATGCAATTTTTGCAACCATTTAGATTCGATATTTGGTCAGATGGATGCAGTTGTTAGAAAGTCGTTGCCTGTGTTGCACTGCAGACGGTCGGTGGCGGTGACGGTTAACTCGGTGGGTGTTGTTGGCACGCGTTATCCCAGTCTCAGTGTGTGCGTGTGTGCACGGGACGGGAGTGCATCGGGGCCCAGAGAAAATATTCGCAATTAAAGTGTTGATGCGAAAAACAATAACAGCAACAACAGCAGTAACAAGTGAATTAACACATATCGAGTGCAACACGTTTCGTCATAACACAAAAGCAAATTCTAATCAATTTAGAGAATTATTTTTAATTATTTATTTTTTAAAACAATAACAACAACAACTAGTCTAAGTGTAGTGTGAGTGTGTGTGCGTGCCTTATATTGGATACCTTATACCTCTTTATAAGCAAAGGAAAATCTCCCAAAAACAACTAAATAAAAATTCCTAGTTCCAGTAATCTCAATGAAATATGAAAGAAACCTACTGTGATTTCGTGGCTGGCTGTTTTGGAGGTAAGTTTCAAGGAAGAGGAGGAGTAAGGGGATCATCAGAAAATGTGATATTGCAAAGTATTTCTTAATGATGTAATTACATAAAAAAACTCATTATCTAAATGAATTTTGTTCCTCCATATCTTCCCTCCTCCTTTTTGGGCTTTACTGCATATTCGATATGATTCTTGTTTTGGGACTACCTCATTTCGAATATATTTGATTCGAAATTTATTTCGTTTTTTTTTTTTGTTAACCTTATCCGTAGTTGCAACAGTTGGCCAAGTTCATGTTTGGCGACCGTGATCTTTTATGTATTTTTATTCTGAAATGACGCTCTCGTCGGCATATCTCTTTCATTCAGTTGTTCTGGCGTCCACGTTTTGGCATGTTTACATATGGGCAGTTCCACGATTGGTGGCATCGTTAATTTGCTATAAGAGAGGGAGAGAGAGAGAGAGAGAGAGAGAGAGAGAGAGAGAGAGAGAGAGAGAGAGAGAGAGAAAGATTTAGTCATTGATTTGTAAATAGTGTTGGGGGAATAAGTTTAGGGTCATGGTTTGTGGAAAGGGATAGTCTAAATTCAAAGGGTATAGTATGGGTCTCATTTTGGACTTTCCAGCTTGGTGTCCTTATGGATCTTTCAAGTTATAAATTGTAGTTGTGGGTGTAATCTTAAAATGTAGTGTGAGGGTTACTCATAAGGTGGTAGAGCCTGAGTTCAAATGTTTGGGTAGTCGAAGACTAGGGGTACTAAAAATACCAAAAACGACCTAATAGTACTGCACTGCTATAGAGCGACCGTTAAAAGCTAGAACTTTAATTATTTGCAATGGAACCACTATTAGCCAAAAAAGGTGGAATTTTGGGAAACTCTCAGTTCTAGGGTACAATAAGTAAAAAAAATTAAATACCCTCCACCTTAGGGCAAAGGAAACATTAGAGCCCATTATAACCAACAAATACCAGTTTTTAGACATATCGGGTGGTACCGCTAAATGGGGCTATACAAAAACGTGAACCTATACATACAATGTTTTGCCAACGGAGCTAGAACCCATTAGGACACACAAATACCAATTTTTAGACAAATCCGTGAAAAAAATGTGGCAAAAATCATCAAAATACCGAATATTGGGAGGTACCGTTATATGGGGACTATACCAAAACGTGGACCGATATCATTTTCACTACCAACCATCCTAGACCAATACAATTTTTATACCCTACAACACTATGTGTTGGGGGTATTATAAGTTTGATTGGGCCAAAAATTATGTAACACCACGAAATATTGATTTCCCACATAGGAAAGTATATATGGATCTTCCTAGCTCGCCGAGTTGAGTCGATCTAGCTATGTATGTCCGTCCGTCCGTCTGTCCGTCTGTCCGTCTGTCCGTCTGTCCATGTTAATTTGTAATCACTCTACAGGTCGCAATTATGGCCCGATCTTCACGAAATTTAGAATGGAGGTGGGGCTAGGTTCAGAATAGAACCCTATTTCTTTTGGAGATGATCGCCAAATGTTTAGGGGTTGAAATGGACCAAATACTGAAAAAATGTCGGATTTTGCAGTAGCTATACAGGTCGCAATTATAGACCAATCGACGCGGAATTTCGCATGCAGCTAGAGTTTAGGGCGGGGAAGAAGCCTACCAATTTGGGTGGTCATCGAATAATATTTAGCGGGTAAAATAGGCCATATCTTTTTTGTTGAAAAAAAAATTTTTTTTCATAAAACCGCGAATATTTGAAATCCCGGCGAAATCACAAAGCCATGACAAGGTTACTTCTGATCTTTACATTCATGTTAACATCCAACAAATCGGATATATAGCAAAATATGTGCTATATATATGTCTATCAAAGAAGATATGCTTGAAAGATCTCTTATATGTCGAGAACTGCTGAACTGATTTCAACAGTTCTCATAAATTCAGAATGGCCTCTTGGCAGGAAAGAAAAAACGTCTAAAAAAATCGCATAAAAATATCTCTCTAATGATGAAAATATTGATTTTGTAAAATTTTCTCATATTTTCTTCAATTTTGTCATATTTTTGGCATATTTTCATTTTCAATAAACATTTGGTAATATTTCTACAGCTAACAAAACTAAGTAGTTAGGATATCAGGATATCATATACAGATCGCATTTATGGCCCGATCCTTACGAAATTTAACATGGGGATAAGATGAGGGTCAGAATAGATGTCTACTCTTTTTAGAGATGATCGCTATATATTTAGGGGTTGAAATGGACCAAAAAACTGCAAAATTGTCAGCAGGTCATAATTATCGCCCGATCCTTACGCATATTTGAATGGGGGTTACCGGACATTGCAAAAGCCAAGCAGTTTCGGATGGCCATCCAAAAATATTCAATGTGTGAAAAAGTTTTTTGTAGACAAAATACGAAAATGTTCATTCCAGTGACTTTTTGGAGAATTCACAAATGCAGGAAAGACGCACTTCTGACTATTTCGTTGAAGAATATAGTCAAATGTTTGTATCTCATATAGATGCGTTTCAGTCAAAAACCAATAATAAATGTTAATCTTTTGCCACTTCTGAGAGATTATAGGTCTTTGGGAAATATTGGTTCCAGATCTAGGAAGACCATTTACGTGCAACATCTACCAATAAATTGGAAATGAGCAAATTAGTTAAAGTTGCTATTATTCGAAAATTAGAGAACGAAACCTGATGGTTTTCTTTTAATATTTGTCACAATATTTTGTGGAATTCTTTCGAGTATCGCGCCTATATAAACTGTATCGTTTATTATAGTGTTGTAGGGTATTCAACGGTCGGCCCCGCTCGACTGTAGTCTTTGCTTACTTGTTTTTTGCTAAATTTTGACGCTCTACAACAAATAATGTGGGTTGTATCGTGATTTTAACAGACGGACAGACAGGCGGACATCGTTTAATCGATTTAGAATTTTATGCTGATTATATAAATAATAATTTTAGACATAACAAAGTATATATATTCTTGATCAGCGTAAAATTATAAGACGATTTAGCCGATTTGTCCGTCCGTCCGTATGTTGTAATCACGCTACAGTCAAAACGAATTAAGATAGGAAGCTACAACTTATGCACAAATCTGTCTTTTGTTTTCAGATAGGTCAAGTCCGAAGATAGGCTATATCGGTCCACGATATCGTATAGCGCCCATATAACGCCACCCCCCGGACATTCGGTATTTTGATGATTTTGCAACGGAATTGTCTGAAATTCTACACAAGTAGTTCTTCGTGACTTCTTTATCCCCTAAAAGAGAACTGTCTATATAGGTCCACGATATAACGGTACCCCCGATATTCGGTATTTTGATGATTTTAGGCACACTTTTCAACGGAATGGTCTGAAAATCCATACAAGGAGTTCCTTGTGAGTACTTTATCCCCTGTAAGAAAATCATTTATATGGGTCCACGATATCGTATAGCCCCCATATAACGGTACCCCCCAATATTCGGTATTTTCATGATTTTAGCCACATTTTTCAATGGAATTGTCTAAAATTCTACACAAGGAGGTTTTTGTGAGTACTTTACCTCCTGAAAGAAAACTGTGTACACGATGGGGGATATAATACCCCCATATACCGGTTCCCCCAATATTCGGTATTTTCATGATTTTAGCCACACTTTTCAATGGAATTGTCTGAAAATTCTCAAAAGAAGTTCCTTGTGAGTACATTACCCTCTGGAAGAGAATTATCTATATAGGTCCACGATATCACATATCCCCTATATAACGGTTTATCTCGATATTCGGTATTTTTATTATTTTTGCAACTTTATTCACCGAAATTGTTTTACATTTCATATAGAAAGTTCGGAACAGTTACTACAGCCTATGACACAAATTACTTATGCAGGGCCACGCCTTCGTATAGCCCCCATATAACCGTTTTCATTTGAGCGGTACTTTCCGATGGATTTTTTTTTAAATTTTTTCAAGTTTCTTCCAAAATATTCTACAAAATAATTTGGCATAAAATTCTTTCAAGGACGTCAAGACTCTAGAGGTTCGATGTAAGTTTTTTAGCTCAACTTTCCTAATCTGCAGGATTTTCCCCGTAATAATTGAAAATCATTACCTCTCACAAAATGCGAAATAATTCCCAATTTGTTCATACTTTGTGCCTTGAAAACATTAGATCTAAAGATCTGGTAATAAAGGTTATCTGGGTAAACCCTTCCCCACAAAGGGTATAACATAAATTAATGGTCATGCGCTGGAGGTAATATTTATTTACCAATAATCTCATGCCTTCTTACATTATTTTGGATCTTAAAAATGAAAATATTCTAAAAAATATATGGAAAATCCCATATTGTGCTCTACGCCAATTTGATTGTAATTATTCAAATATTAAACAGTTTCCTCAAACATATAATTTAAAAGAATCTATATATTTACAATAGCTAAAGTAATTCTACCAAATGTTATTATTTCTAAAGGTACAATAAATAATAAATGTTTTATCATTTGTGAAAATTTTTATATCATCCAAAATTTGTATAAATTTTCGACTTTTCTTCACATTACATTACTCTACAACATTCACTGACATTTGATATTTCGAATTCTCAAAGGCTATCCCGAAAGGATGTTTTGCGTCTGTGTTGAATTTGGAAGGCATGCTACATTGAATATAACTCATTGCGTGCACAATTCCTTTCTTGGTTTGTTATAACATTTGAAACACTTTTGAATTCTCTTCTTAATGGAAACTGTGTAATCAGATGTTTCTTGAACAAGTGGCACTTGTAAAGATGTATGAATGTTTGTCTCCTTGTAATGGCAACAATTACGTTGATGGGTAATGTGCCTTTCTCAAATATTTGCTCACATGGTCGTTGTGTTGACGAGATCTTTTTTTCGTTTAAATTTGGCAAAAAAAAAGTTCTAGCCTAAATTACAGAGGGGTGTGCCACACAATTTCTAGATTATTTAGAATAAGGTCTTATTAAAGAAAATGCTATAAATAAGTTTTCTCAAACATTTCATTACACCCCAATTTTAAAAGAAAATATCTGAAATATTTTAATAAATAAAATGTCACATGTAAACATGACATTTCTTAATTAGACAAAAATAGAGAAAATTATTTATTATTTTTTTTTTTTGTTTTATATCTACAAGAGATACTGGAGTAAACAGTGGCAGTCGGTCAGGAGGTGTGTCATAGTGTTATTAAAATAAAGGTTGTGAAATAAATTTACTATTTGATGAACTAACTGACTCAAAAAAATGGTTGAATTTTTGGAAATTCGTCCAGAAAAAAGTGCGAAAACTGGAAAAAAAATAAATAAAAAAAAAAAAATAAAAATAAAACATTCTAATATAAAAATTTTAATAGAAAGCCCACAATCAAAAAAGGTTTGTAGTTCGACAGCCAAAAATTTGATGAAATAAGTAAAATAGTATCAGTCGATTTTGCCGACAGATGTATACCCTCCGCCTATTGTCGATTATTTAAATATATTTTCACTTGTGTTATAATTATTCAAACTGTTGACCCTGAATGGGCTAATATTGTCCATTTCGTTTATGACATAAATATCCGATCTCTACCATCTTTATTTCAGATCTTGTGTTGATGAAAATATTCAGAAGTACCAATTGTGACAAAAAATTTCGCTTCATGGATATTTATTTAGGGTTGCCCATATTCGTGGGACCCATGTTTGTGGCTTGTCTTTATGGCTTGTCCACAGGCAATATTCTTTGCGTCAATTGAATTTTGTACGGGAACAAATGCAAATCAATGCGAATAATCCGTTGTAAAGTGGACCGAGCCATGCCCAACTGCTGAGAACGGCGTTGTTGGGATATTCTTGGGGACCTCTCAACACTGGCTCGTACGGCAGTGATATTCTCGGCCGATCGCCTTGGTTGATTTTTATATGGCCTCTTCGGATTAGAGAGAGCCTTACCAGTCGAAATTTTTTCGTATAAATGCTTAATGGTGTTCTTAGAAGGCCCACTTCTCACATTTTTTAATGTTTTAAAAGCACGTTGAGTTTTCACAATTGACTTCTTCTGTTGAATGTAAATTTCAACTATTTCGCGTGGCGTGTATTGGTTCATGGTAAAAATCTGCTTGGACTGACGCTTCAAACGCGGTATGTCATTAAGCGATGTGACATCTCTGTCAAAAGTTATGGCGTTGCTAGATGGGTCCGTCGAATATGAGCAACCCTGTATTTATGGATATTTTCATGGATATTTAAAATGTTGACCCTTTGTGGGGAAGGTACCAGAAGAAGTGGGCCGATATATCCTATCTTACCACCAGACCTTGGGTTAATAAAAATTTTGTATATGTAAAATTTGAAGACAATCGGGCTCTTGATTCACATTTTATAAGAGTTATAATTATTTAAAATTTTGACCCTTTGTGGTGTGGAACGATATTGTCTATTTTCACACCTAACATAGCACTGATGCAAATATTAGGATTTGCAAAGTTGGAGAAAATTGAATTATCGTTTTTCTTTCTGTGCAGAAAAAAATTTTTTGTTTTAGAAAATTTCGACCTTTTTTGGGGGAGGTACCTGAAGAAGTGGACCGACAAATTCCATTTTAACACCAGATTTTGGGTTAATAAAAATATTGGGATGTGTGAAATTTGAAGACAATCAGGCTCTTACATCACATTTTATAAGAGCTATAATTATTCAAAATTTTGACCCTTTGTGAGGAAAGCATTTGATAAAGTGGACCGATATTATCCATTTTTGCACCTGACCGAGAACTGAGACAAATTTTAGGATTTGCAAAGTTGGAGCAAAATCGGTTATTGCTTCTCTTTCTGTGTAGAAAAAATATTTTTTTTTTTTTGAAAATTTCGACCTATTGTGAGGGAGGTACCAGAAGGAGTGGACCGATGCATTCCATTTTAACACCAGTCTTTGGGTTAATAAAATTACTGCAATGTGTGAAATTTGAAGACAATCGGACTGTTACATCTCATTTTATTAGAGTTGTAATTTATCAAAATGTTGGCCCTATGTGGGGGAGGCACTTGATGGAGTGGATCGATATTGACCATTTTCGCACCTGATCTAGCACTGAAAATATTTTGCAGAAAATATATTTTTTTATTTTTTTTTTTTTGAAAATTTCGACCTTTTGTGGCGGATATACCAGCATGAGTGGACCGATATTGCCCATCTCCGAACTCGATCTAAGTTTGACAAAAATATTACGATGTACCAAGTTTGGACCAAATCGTATACTCCCTTCGAGAGTTATAGTGCGCACCTGCCAGACAGACAGACAGACGGACGGACATCGCTAGATCGACTCCAAATGTCCTGAAACGGATTTGGTCTCTTTGGACCTAGGGTCGGAAATCGTTATTTCGACTAGGCACGTTTTGACCGCATCAAATGAGGGTATAAAAAGTATAAAAATGTTCGATGTTAAATTTGGATTATATGGGGTACTGTTGCGTGAAGATTTCATCACATACAACAGCGGCCATAGCAAGACTGCAAGGATGTGCGACGATAACAGCACCAATCAACAACCATAGTGTTCGTTGGGAGCGTAATAAACAATTTAGTTTTCCGTGCTATGCCGTTTACTGCATCAGGCGAATAATTCTCATTGACTTGGTAAGGCCGGTCTCCCGGTTAACTAACCATTGTAGACGACCCGAAAAGCTAAACCAAAACATACCCTCAACGACCTGCCGAACCCGAGGAAATCTCTATATCCATCTACAAAGGTCTGGACATCAGTTACCGCACCTACATTCAATGAGCTGCCAAACTCGAAAGAATCTCAATCGTTTACGAAGACCTGGGAAGCTGCTCCCGAGTATCGCCACAGTAATATGGTAGCGTCTATACCACAAGTCCCCAATCCGCCTCAGATGACCTGCACCATCCCGAACTGCAACATCACTTCATCGTAATTCCCGACTACATTCAATCTGTCGACATCCGATGCCCACAAATTCCCTATTACCTTCAAATCGTCATCATCCCACATCACCCGAGCACAAAAATCGTAATTCCTGACAACAGTCTAACCTTCCACAACTCACGACCATAGATTCCCGATTAAATTCAAATCGTCGACATCTCACATCACTCATTGAGTCGTTCACCTTCTTGCCTACGAGATAAGTAAACGTTAAACTCCCATTTCAAAACGAGTAGGTTGTAATTTAGTATAAAAAAAAATTCGATGAGACATCCGATTCCGAGGAAAGGGGGGACACTAAACCCTGTAAAGACTTCTCTCTCGCTTGAACTTCAAGATAATCATGTAAGACTCTCTGAATAGTACTTCCCTTATTTAAAGATGACTTTTCTTCCAGAGGCCCTTTATATTTTTGATTTAAAATTGACCTCTAGGTACACCTCCGCTAATACTTCGCATTATTGCCTATCAATTGATGTCCTTTTCAATTAAAAAAACATATGTTCCCTTTTTAATTACAGGAGCTTGCGGTGTATTTGTGGCTCATCCCTTGGATACGATAAAGACATGGCAACAGGCATCAAACACATCCGTACCGACAGCAATACAACAAATCTATAAACGGAACAATGGGGTAAAGTATCCTGCCTTCTTCCACCTTTCAATTATGGAACTAATCTCCTTCTTTTCCTCTCGCAGATCAATGGCTTTTACCGCGGAATGTTTTTTCCATTTGTTACAACTGGCGGCATCAATTCCATTCTGTTTGGAGTCTATGGCAATCATCTGCGCCAGCTGAGGCGGGTGTGTCACAGCGACTATCAGCGCGAACAGTTGGAGTACAAAAATATGTTCATAGCCGGATCGATAGCGGGTTTTGTGCAGTCGTTTGTAGCCTGTCCCATAGAGTTGATCAAAATCCGATTGCAGACACATCATTGTGAGTGGTGGGGTGGGGAAAGCGGGTGGAATTTACAGGGGGAGGGGAGATAAAATAAAAATTAAAAAAAAATATTACTTATTTGTGGAAGGCCTCTGATGGGTGTTCTATCTATAAAAGATATCTACAGGAAACCTCAGGAGTCTAGAAATTTCTCTATTCCAGAATGTGTTGTAGAATATCCTCTAACTTTAGAGGACCTATAGAAGTTCTGATATCTATAGATGACATGTAGAAAAAGACCTTTAGTAGGTCTTCTGTCCTTAGAAGACCTGTGGAAGGTTTTTTTGACTTTAGAGGACTTGTAGGTGGTCTTCTGTTTATAGAAGACCTGTAAAAGGTCTTTTGTTTCTAGAAGACCTGTAAAAGATCTTTTATCTTTAGAATACCTGTAGAAGGTCTTCTAACTATAGAGGACGTGTATAAGTTATTCTATCCCTAGAAGACCTGTAGACGGTCTTCTGTCTCTAGGAGACCTGCAGAAGGTCTTCTATCTACAGAAGACCTGTAGAACGTCTTCTATCTTTAGAGGACGTGTATAAGTTCTTCTACCTCTAGAAGACCTGCAGAAGGCCTTCTTCTGTCTGTAGAAGATCTTTTGTTTTAAGAAGACCTGTAAAAGATGTTTTATCTTTAGAGTACCTGTAGAAGGTCTTCTAACTATAGAGGACGTATATAAGTTATTCTATCTATAAGACCTGTACAAGGTCTTCTGTCTCTAGAAAAGCTGCAGAAGACCTGTAAGGTCTTTTGTCTCTAGAAGACCTGTAGAAGGTCTTTTGTCTCTAGAAGACCTGTAGAAGATCTTTTATCTTTAGAGTACCTGTAGAAGATCTTCTAACTATAGAGGACGTGTATAAGTTATTCTATCCCTAGAAGACCTGTATAAGGTCTTCTGTCTCTAGAAAAGCTGTAGACGGTCTTCTGTCTCTAGAAGACCTGCAGAAGGTCTTCTATATACAGAAGACCTGTAGAACGTCTTCTATCTTTAGAGAATGTGTATAAGTTCTTCTACCTCTAGAAGATCTGCAGAAGGTCTTCTGTCTTTAGAAGACCTGTAGAAGGTCTTTTGTCTCTAGAAGACCTGTAGAAGGTCTTTTGTCTCTAGAAGACCTGTAGAAGGTCTTTTGTCTCTAGAAGACCTGTAGAATATCTTTTATCTTTAGAGTACCTGTAGAAGGTCTTCCAACTATGGAGGACATGTATAAGTTATTCTAACTCTAGAAGGTCTTCTGCCTCTAGAAAAGCTGCAGAAGGTCTTCTGTCTCTAGAAGACCTGCAGAAGGTCTTCTATCTACAGAAGACCTGTAGAAAGTCTTCTGTCTTTAGAAGACTTGTAGAAAGTCTTCTGTCATTAGAAGATCTGTTGAAGGTCTTCTATATCTAGAAGACCTGTAGAAAGTCTTCTGTCATTAGAAGATCTCTTGAAGGTCTTCTATCTTTAGAAGACCTGCAGAAAGTCTTCTATCTCTAGAAGACCTGTAGGAGGTATCCTATATTTTAGAAAATCTGTAGCACTTCTTCTTCTGTCTTTAGAAGACCTGTAGAAGGGCTTCTGTCTTTAGAAGACTTGTAGAAGGTCTTCTATCTCTAGAAGACCTGTAGAAAGTCTTCTGTCATTAGAAGATCTGTTGAAGGTCTTCTATCTTTAGACGACCTGCAGAAGGTTTCTGTCTCTAGAAGACACGTAGATGGTCTTCTGTCTTTAGAAGACATGTAGGGGGTCTTCTTGAAGGTCTTCTAAGGACCTGTAGAAGGTCATCTCTAGGTAAAACCCTAATGTTCTCCTTTACTTTGCCCCTTTTCAGATTACAACAAATACATCTATGGTCACAAAATGACACCGTTCTGGATGTTCAAAAGAATTATTAAGGCTGATGGATTCTCCGGACTATTTCGGGGTCTGGTGCCGATGATGTGTCGTGACGTGTTTCCCTATGGCATATATATGTTGGCCTATCGTTACACCACCACATATTTGGATCAAACGGAATTTGTACAGCAGCGGCGGAGACTACGTTCCGAAGATGATACTCAGGTGGATTTTGTGGTGACAACATTGGCGGGAGCGTGGGCAGGCATTCTCTCGTGGGTGTGTGTGATACCCTTCGATGTGGTGAAGACCATAATGCAGGCGGAGGAGAATCGGCAGTATCGTTCGATATGGCATTGTTTGAATAAGAATTTTAAGGTATTTCAAAACGACATTTCAAATTTCAAATCTAATCAAAGTTTTGAATTTTTTTTCAGCGTTACGGCTGGCGCAGCTTGTTCCGTGGCAGTTGGATGCTGGTGGTCAGAGCAATACCCTTTAATGCCGCCACCTTTTTGGGCTATGAATATGCTTTGGAATGGTGTCACAAATATTTTCAAGTTCAAATCAAATCAAGTCCAAAATATTATTAGCGGCATAGAAATGAAAGTAGTTTTGCCTGGTTTTTGTAAAATTCGAATTTAACGAATTCGAATATGAAATAGTAAATCACTCGAATTCGTTCGATTAGATTTTTACTAAAACACATGGTTTTTTTAATTGTTTTTTATTATTTTGTAAATTTTTTATTTTGAATTTTTGAAAATTTTGTAATTTTTTAATTTATAATTATTTTATTTTGTTTTTTTTTTAATTTATTTTATATTTATTTTTTGTATGTATTATTTACTTAATTTATACTTCATATTTTATTTATATTACATGTACATTTATTTATTTTATATATTTTTTTTAATTTTTAATAATCTTGTATTTTTTATAATTATTTTATTTTTTAGATTCATTTTTTTATTTATTTTATAAATTTATTTATTTTTTTTATTTAACATTTATTTTATTTATATTATATGTTTATTATAATATAATTTATTTTATAAATTTTTTATTTTGTATTTTTTAATAATTTTTTATAATTATTTTTATTTTAATTTTTGTTTGTTTGTTTTTAATTTGTAATTTTAATTTGTAATTTTTCAATTAAAAATGAGAAAATATTATTTTGAAAAAAAAATCGTATTTTATTAATGACACAAAAAAAAACGTCTTCCCATACCGGGAATCGAACCCGGGCCTTCTGGGTGAAAGCCAGATATCCTAGCCACTAGACCATATGGGATACAGGGTATGACGTTACCTAGTTGCCTTAAATTATAAAAGCTTACACGATTTTTGCCTTGGAGAATAAAAGCTATGTAGAATGTGTAGAGTGTAGCACAGACACGACTTTCCTTCCAATTGTATGCTGGGAAAAACACTTGGTAAAAGCACGATGTAGATGGCGTTGCGGAATATCTGTTGGCGGCAAATAATGATATGATAATCACAGGCAAAATCTAACAAATCGTTATGAAATTATAGCTAAAAATACAAGACACTTATGTCGGCGTTTTTTAAGGTTACATCGCAAAGTAGTCTAAATAGAGGAGGCAAGTTTCCCCGTCTTCCACATTTTATTGAAATTTTCATAGCAAGATTCAATTTCGGAATTTGCACTTGTAATTCGAACGCAATTTCTATATCTAATATCCATTCTGGATATATTGTTTGTTCTGAGACTTATATTAAAATCTGATGTTGAATATTTCCTCCGTTGATACTATTTGCTTAAAATGAAGTTTTATGCGACTTTCATGCATCAATTCGAAAAAAGCCAGAGGAAAAATTGATCAAAAAATTAGGAAATATTTTCGCGATTTTTTTGGCAACATTAATTCAAATATTTTTTTTGGTATACAATGGAAATAGAGATTTCTTTTATTGGGTGACTTATAGTGAAATTTGATGAAGAATATTTTAGTCTTTAACACTTTTCCAAAATAATAAAATTTTAAGGCAGATTTTGCCTCAGATTAGGGTCGTATAGAATTAACACTCAAAAAATGAAAATCTATAACATCCAGATGTAATACACAAATTTCGAATATAATTATCTTAATAACTATTATACCTAAATATAAAGTTTATTCTGAGACTTATATTGAAATCTGGTGTTGAATATATCCTCCTTTGATACTATATATTAAAAATTAAGTTTTATGCGACTTTCATGCATAAACTCGAAAAAAAACCGGAAGAAAAATTGCTCAAAAATTTGGAAATTTGGAACTAATCTCCTTCTTTTCCTCTCGCAGATCAATGGCTTTTACCGCGGAATGTTTTTTCCATTTGTTACAACTGGCGGCATCAATTCCATTCTGTTTGGAGTCTATGGCAATCATCTGCGCCAGCTGAGGCGGGTGTGTCACAGCGACTATCAGCGCGAACAGTTGGAGTACAAAAATATGTTCATAGCCGGATCGATAGCGGGTTTTGTGCAGTCGTTTGTAGCCTGTCCCATAGAGTTGATCAAAATCCGATTGCAGACACATCATTGTGAGTGGTGGGGTGGGGAAAGCGGGTGGAATTTACAGGGGGAGGGGAGATAAAATAAAAATTAAAAAAAAATATTACTTATTTGTGGAAGGCCTCTGATGGGTGTTCTATCTATAAAAGATATCTACAGGAAACCTCAGGAGTCTAGAAATTTCTCTATTCCAGAATGTGTTGTAGAATATCCTCTAACTTTAGAGGACCTATAGAAGTTCTGATATCTATAGATGACATGTAGAAAAAGACCTTTAGTAGGTCTTCTGTCCTTAGAAGACCTGTGGAAGGTTTTTTTGACTTTAGAGGACTTGTAGGTGGTCTTCTGTTTATAGAAGACCTGTAAAAGGTCTTTTGTTTCTAGAAGACCTGTAAAAGATCTTTTATCTTTAGAATACCTGTAGAAGGTCTTCTAACTATAGAGGACGTGTATAAGTTATTCTATCCCTAGAAGACCTGTAGACGGTCTTCTGTCTCTAGGAGACCTGCAGAAGGTCTTCTATCTACAGAAGACCTGTAGAACGTCTTCTATCTTTAGAGGACGTGTATAAGTTCTTCTACCTCTAGAAGACCTGCAGAAGGCCTTCTTCTGTCTGTAGAAGATCTTTTGTTTTAAGAAGACCTGTAAAAGATGTTTTATCTTTAGAGTACCTGTAGAAGGTCTTCTAACTATAGAGGACGTATATAAGTTATTCTATCTATAAGACCTGTACAAGGTCTTCTGTCTCTAGAAAAGCTGCAGAAGACCTGTAAGGTCTTTTGTCTCTAGAAGACCTGTAGAAGGTCTTTTGTCTCTAGAAGACCTGTAGAAGATCTTTTATCTTTAGAGTACCTGTAGAAGATCTTCTAACTATAGAGGACGTGTATAAGTTATTCTATCCCTAGAAGACCTGTATAAGGTCTTCTGTCTCTAGAAAAGCTGTAGACGGTCTTCTGTCTCTAGAAGACCTGCAGAAGGTCTTCTATATACAGAAGACCTGTAGAACGTCTTCTATCTTTAGAGAATGTGTATAAGTTCTTCTACCTCTAGAAGATCTGCAGAAGGTCTTCTGTCTTTAGAAGACCTGTAGAAGGTCTTTTGTCTCTAGAAGACCTGTAGAAGGTCTTTTGTCTCTAGAAGACCTGTAGAAGGTCTTTTGTCTCTAGAAGACCTGTAGAATATCTTTTATCTTTAGAGTACCTGTAGAAGGTCTTCCAACTATGGAGGACATGTATAAGTTATTCTAACTCTAGAAGGTCTTCTGCCTCTAGAAAAGCTGCAGAAGGTCTTCTGTCTCTAGAAGACCTGCAGAAGGTCTTCTATCTACAGAAGACCTGTAGAAAGTCTTCTGTCTTTAGAAGACTTGTAGAAAGTCTTCTGTCATTAGAAGATCTGTTGAAGGTCTTCTATATCTAGAAGACCTGTAGAAAGTCTTCTGTCATTAGAAGATCTCTTGAAGGTCTTCTATCTTTAGAAGACCTGCAGAAAGTCTTCTATCTCTAGAAGACCTGTAGGAGGTATCCTATATTTTAGAAAATCTGTAGCACTTCTTCTTCTGTCTTTAGAAGACCTGTAGAAGGGCTTCTGTCTTTAGAAGACTTGTAGAAGGTCTTCTATCTCTAGAAGACCTGTAGAAAGTCTTCTGTCATTAGAAGATCTGTTGAAGGTCTTCTATCTTTAGACGACCTGCAGAAGGTTTCTGTCTCTAGAAGACACGTAGATGGTCTTCTGTCTTTAGAAGACATGTAGGGGGTCTTCTTGAAGGTCTTCTAAGGACCTGTAGAAGGTCATCTCTAGGTAAAACCCTAATGTTCTCCTTTACTTTGCCCCTTTTCAGATTACAACAAATACATCTATGGTCACAAAATGACACCGTTCTGGATGTTCAAAAGAATTATTAAGGCTGATGGATTCTCCGGACTATTTCGGGGTCTGGTGCCGATGATGTGTCGTGACGTGTTTCCCTATGGCATATATATGTTGGCCTATCGTTACACCACCACATATTTGGATCAAACGGAATTTGTACAGCAGCGGCGGAGACTACGTTCCGAAGATGATACTCAGGTGGATTTTGTGGTGACAACATTGGCGGGAGCGTGGGCAGGCATTCTCTCGTGGGTGTGTGTGATACCCTTCGATGTGGTGAAGACCATAATGCAGGCGGAGGAGAATCGGCAGTATCGTTCGATATGGCATTGTTTGAATAAGAATTTTAAGGTATTTCAAAACGACATTTCAAATTTCAAATCTAATCAAAGTTTTGAATTTTTTTTCAGCGTTACGGCTGGCGCAGCTTGTTCCGTGGCAGTTGGATGCTGGTGGTCAGAGCAATACCCTTTAATGCCGCCACCTTTTTGGGCTATGAATATGCTTTGGAATGGTGTCACAAATATTTTCAAGTTCAAATCAAATCAAGTCCAAAATATTATTAGCGGCATAGAAATGAAAGTAGTTTTGCCTGGTTTTTGTAAAATTCGAATTTAACGAATTCGAATATGAAATAGTAAATCACTCGAATTCGTTCGATTAGATTTTTACTAAAACACATGGTTTTTTTAATTGTTTTTTATTATTTTGTAAATTTTTTATTTTGAATTTTTGAAAATTTTGTAATTTTTTAATTTATAATTATTTTATTTTGTTTTTTTTTTAATTTATTTTATATTTATTTTTTGTATGTATTATTTACTTAATTTATACTTCATATTTTATTTATATTACATGTACATTTATTTATTTTATATATTTTTTTTAATTTTTAATAATCTTGTATTTTTTATAATTATTTTATTTTTTAGATTCATTTTTTTATTTATTTTATAAATTTATTTATTTTTTTTATTTAACATTTATTTTATTTATATTATATGTTTATTATAATATAATTTATTTTATAAATTTTTTATTTTGTATTTTTTAATAATTTTTTATAATTATTTTTATTTTAATTTTTGTTTGTTTGTTTTTAATTTGTAATTTTAATTTGTAATTTTTCAATTAAAAATGAGAAAATATTATTTTGAAAAAAAAATCGTATTTTATTAATGACACAAAAAAAAACGTCTTCCCATACCGGGAATCGAACCCGGGCCTTCTGGGTGAAAGCCAGATATCCTAGCCACTAGACCATATGGGATACAGGGTATGACGTTACCTAGTTGCCTTAAATTATAAAAGCTTACACGATTTTTGCCTTGGAGAATAAAAGCTATGTAGAATGTGTAGAGTGTAGCACAGACACGACTTTCCTTCCAATTGTATGCTGGGAAAAACACTTGGTAAAAGCACGATGTAGATGGCGTTGCGGAATATCTGTTGGCGGCAAATAATGATATGATAATCACAGGCAAAATCTAACAAATCGTTATGAAATTATAGCTAAAAATACAAGACACTTATGTCGGCGTTTTTTAAGGTTACATCGCAAAGTAGTCTAAATAGAGGAGGCAAGTTTCCCCGTCTTCCACATTTTATTGAAATTTTCATAGCAAGATTCAATTTCGGAATTTGCACTTGTAATTCGAACGCAATTTCTATATCTAATATCCATTCTGGATATATTGTTTGTTCTGAGACTTATATTAAAATCTGATGTTGAATATTTCCTCCGTTGATACTATTTGCTTAAAATGAAGTTTTATGCGACTTTCATGCATCAATTCGAAAAAAGCCAGAGGAAAAATTGATCAAAAAATTAGGAAATATTTTCGCGATTTTTTTGGCAACATTAATTCAAATATTTTTTTTGGTATACAATGGAAATAGAGATTTCTTTTATTGGGTGACTTATAGTGAAATTTGATGAAGAATATTTTCGTCTTTAACACTTTTCCAAAATAATAAAATTTTAAGGCAGATTTTGCCTCAGATTAGGGTCGTATAGAATTAACACTCAAAAAATGAAAATCTATAACATCCAGATGTAATACACAAATTTCGAATATAATTATCTTAATAACTATTATACCTAAATATAAAGTTTATTCTGAGACTTATATTGAAATCTGGTGTTGAATATATCCTCCTTTGATACTATATATTAAAAATTAAGTTTTATGCGACTTTCATGCATAAACTCGAAAAAAAACCGGAAGAAAAATTGCTCAAAAAATTTGGAAATATTTTCGCGATTTTTTTTTGGCAACACTGATTTAATAATTTTTTATTGGCATGTAATAGAAAAACAGAATTCTTTCCTGTGGTGACTTATAGTGAAATTTGATGAGGAATTTTTTTGTCTTTGACGCTTTTCTCAAATAATGAAGTTTTAAGAAAGATTTTGACTCGGATTAGGGTCGTATAGAATTAATACTCAACAATGAAAATATATAACATCCATTAGAAATGTATAAATTTCGAATATAAATACATGAATAACTATTATACCTACGTATAAAGTTTATTCTGAGACTTATATTGAAATTTGATGTTGAATATTTTCTTCTTTGACAGTATCTATTTATAATGAAGTTTTATGCGACTTTCATGCATAAACTCGAAAAAAGCCGAAGGAAAAGTTGCTAAAAAAATTTGATATATTTTCGCGATTTCTTTGGCAACATTGATTCAAATATTTTTTTGGTATACAATGGAAATAGAGATTTCTTTTATTTGGTGACTTATTTCGAAATGTAATAGAGAGGATTTTTGTCATTGGCGCTTTTCTTAAATAATGACGTTTTAAGGAAGATTTTAGCTCGGATTGAAAACACGGTAAAAAAAACAATTTTAAACTGTATCTTTATAATACTCACTTGTAATTCGAAAGCAATTTCCATATCCAATATCCATTCTGGATATATTGTTTGTTCTAAGACTTATATTGAAATCTGGTGTTGAATATTTTCTCCTTTAATACTATGTTTTTAAAATCAAGTTTTATGCGACTTTCTTGCATAAACTCGAAAAAAGTCGGAGAAAAAAATTGCTCAAAAAAATTTTGGAAATATTTTCGCATTTTTTTTTGGCAACATTGATTTAAATATTTTTTTTGGTATACAATGGAAATAGAGATTTCTGTTATTTGATGACTTATTTCGAAATTTGATAGAGAATATTTTTGTCTTTGGCGCTTTTCTCAAATAATAAAGTTTTAAGGAAGATTTTGGCTCGGATTAAAAACGTAGTAAAAAACCCGTTTTAAACGGTTTATTATATAATACGCACTTATAATTCGAATGCAATTTTCATTAAAACTTTTATATCTGGATATATTGTTTGTTCTGAGACTTATATTGAAATCTAGTGTTGAATATTTCCTCCATTGATACTATTTGCTTAAAATGAAGTTTTATGCGACTTTCATGCATAAACTCGAAAAAAGTCGGTGGAAAAATTACTCAAAAATATTTGGAAATATTTTCGCGATTTCTTTGGCAACATTGATTTAAATATTTTTTTGGTATACAAGGGAAATAGAGATTTCTTTTATTTGATGACTTACTATGAAATTTGATAGAGAATATTTTTGTCTTTGCCACTTTTCTCAAATAATGACGTTTAAAGGAACATTTTATCTCGGATTGAAAACATAGTAAAAAACAATTTTAAGCGGTTACTATAAAATACGCACTGTAATTCGAACGCAATTTTCTCTAAAACTGTTACATCTGGATATATTGTTTGTTCTGAGGCTTATATTGAAATCTGGTATTTCCTCCGTTGATATGGACCCTCCGTTGGTATAGCTCCCATATAAGGGTACCTACCTATTTTTGGTATTCTGGTGATTTAAGCGACATTATTCACCGGAAATGTTTCAAATTTGGTATTTTAGGTTCGCAATGGATGCTACAGCCTATGACAGAAAATTGTCTGTGCAGGTTATCATCTTCGTATAGCCCCCATATAATGGTACCTACCTATTTTCGGTGATTTCTGGTGATTTAAGCGACATTATTCACCCGAATTGTTTAAAATTTGGTATTTGAAGTTCGTAATAGATACTACACCCTATGACAGAAAATTGTCTATGCAGGTCCACGTCTTCGTATAGCCCCAATATAACGTTACCTCCCGATATTCGGTATTTTGATGATTTTAGCGACATTATTCACCGGAATTGTTTCTAATTTGGTATTTGAAGTTCGTAATAGATACTACACCCTATGACAGAAAATTGTCTATGCAGGTCCACGTCTTCGTATAGCCCCAATATAACGGTACCTCCCGATATTCGGTATTTTTATGATTTTAGCGACATTATTCACCGGAATTGTTTAAAATTTGGTATTTGAAGTTCGTAATAGATACTACACTCTATGACAGAAAATTGTCTATGCAGGTCCACGTCTTCGTATAGCCCCAATATAACGGTACCTCCCGATATTCGGTATTTTTATGATTTTAGCGACATTATTCACCGGAATTGTTTCAAATTTGGTATTTGAAGTTCGTAATAGATACTACACCCTATGACAGAAAATTGTCTATGCAGGTTCACGTCTTCGTATAGCCCTCATATAACGGTACCTCTCGATATTTGGTATTTTGATGATTTTAGCGACATTATTCACCGGAATTGTTTCAAATTTGATATTTGAAGTTCGTAATGGATACTACAGCCTATGAATTGTCTATGCAGGTCCACGTCTTCATATAGTCCCCATATAAGGGTACCTCCTGATATTCGGCATTTGTATGATTTTAGCGACATTATTTACCGGAATTGTTTCGAATTTCGTATTTGAAGTTCGTAATGGATACTACAGCCTATGACAAAACATTGTCTATGCAGGACCACGTCTTCGTATAGCCCCCATATAACAGTAACTCCCGATATTCGGTATTTTGATGATTTTAGCGACATTATTCACTGGAAATGTTTCAAATTTGGTCTTTAAGGTTCGTAATGGATACTACAGCCTAAGACAGAAAATTATCTGTGCAGTTCCACGTCTTCGTATAGCCCCCATATAACGGTACCCCCGCGGTATTCGGTATTTTGATGATTTTAGCGACATTATTCACCGGAAATGTTTCAAATTTGTTATATGTAGTTCGTAATGGATACTACAGCCTACGGCTACATTCGGTTTTTTTTACTATTTTAACAGAATTTTAACGGATTTCATTGTTTTTGAAAATTGCCAAATTCGTTCCAAATGGCTTTTTTACTTGTTTTTGAATAACTTCAATTTTTGTTGCCCACTGTAAGTAATGTATGTACATAACAACCAATGTAATTACACACAAAGTAAAATTCTGCATCACTTTTCAATATTTTCTTTTTTTTTTCAATTGAATTTATTATTTCTAATTTCATTAAAAACTGTTACTGAATAATTCAATAAAATAACAAAACAAGTAATTTAATAATTTACCTTTGAAAACTTTGAACCCTCTACCACGAACTTCTTTATCCTGGTTCAATATCTTTCACGGTAAGGACATAAAATAATGGAATGGAAGGTGGTGACCTTTGTGTGTGTGTGTGGTTGTGTCAACGGCTTTTGAACTTGAAATGGGAAAGATTTGTTCTGTTTACAATGTTTGGTTTTCTTTTGTTTGTGTTGTTGCTGCTGTTTTTCTTTGATTCGATATTTTTTTTGGCGTTTTCGAAGGAA